ATACTAGTCCCAATCAGGAAACTAGATCAAAGTAATCATAATAATAATAATAATATAAGGTCAATACAATTGACAAACTTGTCAAAGAAAAGCAAATACTCATTTACTTCCTAAATAGGAAATAAGTGGATCCTTTAAATAGGAAGTGAATGAATTCAGCTTGCTTACTTACTTAAGCTGGAGGATAAAAAACCTTATTTAATAAATAATTCTAGATCAGAATCATGAATCATTAGTTTGATTATTAGATAAAGAAAGCGGGGTAAGCAAGTGGGGTAAGAAACAATAAATAAAGAATCAAATAATCAAATAATCAGAATGATATCAATAATACAAGACTTCATGTAAAAAATAATTCATCTTTATATTATCCATCTTAGCTGGGATTCACATAGAATTTATATGGGATTCTCAGCTGAGTTAGGTAGTCAAGAGATGATTACTTTAATTAATAAGAATTCTTGATTTCCAGCCATCACACCCTCCCAGGTTTACATATATGCAAACCTGTCAATTTAGCTAGTTTATTTTTACTGATTTTTGAATTAAATGTTTGATATCTTTCATATTTAAATATTTAATGAAATTTTGAAATTTTTAGCCGGTCAGTTGCTTAGTCAGGCCATCAGCGGGTATCTGATTAATTAAAACCCATTTTATTTTGATTTTATTTGCATTGATTTACTATTTCAACCAATTTTGATAAATATCAACATATTTGAGTTTTGATCTGTATAGTGAATATTCATTTATTAAAATTTATATTATTTACATATTATCACAAACAATATAAATAAGTTATTCTGGGTTAAATTATATGGCTTTAAAGATTCGAATCCACCAGAGAAATTACTTACTGGCTTGTGTAAAGAATAAAAGTTCAGCTTCTATAATAGATAATATCACTGTTTTTTACTTTTTAGATATCTAATTAATTGGTCCATTGAAAAGTTTGCATATGTAAGCCTCTGAGCTTGTTTTGTTTGCATTATCTGCAAACGCTGCGTCGCTGGCCATTTGAAAGATTGGGTTTATTTACTTTAGTTATTCATTTAAATATTCAATACAAAGATATCTTGATTTATAAAGATAAGAAATCACATGATTTACAATATTTTGATGTTTTAGAAGTAGGTCCAATAGATATTTACTGAGTATTTATACTGTTTTTATAATATCTGGTCTTGAAATAATGGCTGCATATAATAAAGAGCCGATTTTTTGTTGATATAGTTCAATTTGAACAGGATTTGCATGCATGTTTGCATCATTTACTTGTTTTTAAATATTTGCAATATATAGTGTTTTTGATGGTTTTTGCTTAGTCATATTAAATTAATAACTGATTTTTTCAATATAATCTGTTTATAATATCCATAATTTTCGATTTTTTCTGTCACGAATAATATTAATATTCAAGAATCTTGTTGCTTCATTTATTTCCTTCATATTATATATGGAGGTCAATGATTCCTTGAAATTTTCGAATATTTTTCGATTTGTTTCATGAAAAATGATGATAATATCATCAACAAAAATAATCAAGATTAGATAATCATTTGTAAAAATGCAAGGATCTTCATTCACTAGCCATAGGCCCAGTTTAATAAGGGTTTCCTTGATTATTTCTTGCCAGAATAAAAATAACTTCCATAATTTATACAAAGCTTTAAGTAATTTAAGTACCTTTCCCTTAGCTCTAAAACCAGGAGGGTATGATACATAAATTTCTTCATATAAACAGTTATTTAGAAAAGTATTCACTGCGTCCAATTAATATATTTCAAGGTCAAAGGCTGTAATTAATACAAACATCATTCTTAGGGTTCGTGACCCTAGGGTTAGAGCCCTAGTTTCTTCCCAGAATAAGTTAGGTTGAAGGTCTTCCTGTACGCAAATACAGACTTTAAATTTTGATAGATTTGCATTTTCATTAAATTTGTATATAAAGACCCATCTTAATAAAAGAATTTGATAATTCTTCAGTTTTTCTTCTGATATAAAAGTCCATGTTTGCATTATTTATAATTATTAATATTCAATTTTTGCAGCTTCAGTGAATTGTTGCTGATATGAATGCTTTTATAATTCTTTCCAATTTACTGGTGGGACTGGCAGGTCATGTTTTTATAATTTTAGTATTTTATCTGTGATTCCAGTTGTAAATACATGTAAAAATAATTAAATTTACATTATTGGCTTAGTTTGGTCTGTTTATATTACAAAATTTCGTGCTTATTTTAATGGTCCAGGATCAGGTGATTCTAATTAATTTTATTTTCTTGTAATTTGATCAGATAATTTCTGTAATTTTGAAAAAAGATCTGTATTATCAATAAAAATAATAGATGGAGTTGGTATTGGAGTAGATAGTTGATCATCTAAAATTTGATCAGTTTAATTAGTTTGATTAATTTCATTATTTTGATTAATTTGATCATTTTCATCATTTTGAATATTTTAAATATTTTGATCATTTTCATCATTTTAAATATTTTGAATATTTTGATCATTTTCATCATAAAAAATTGTTGAATTTTCTTCTTCCATATTATTTTAATGAGAATCATGAATTTTTGAATTTTCTTCGATAAATTTGATAATTTCATTGATTTCTTCATTATTTAGGGCTTTAGGTGGATTTAGCCCTAAATCATCTTAATAAAATTCACCAATTTTTACATTAACTTGACTGTATAATAAATTTTTATTAAAAATATAATCTCTTGTAATTATTATTTTTTGCTTTATTAGAATCCAGATTTTCCATATATTTGATGCAATATACCCTACTAGGTAGCTAATCAGAGCCCTAGAATTTAGCTTGCTAAGGCAGGGCAGCTTAGTAATTTATACATAAGCTTTTAAGCCATATTACTTTAGATTAGCTAAATCAGATCTTTCATACAAGAAGTTTAGTGGATCTTCCAAATATTTATATAGTTTATCATATGGGGTTTCCCAATTATTTACTTTGTTTAATATTTTATTTAATAAAAATATGACTGTTTCTGCTGCCTCAGACCATAAAAAGTGGGGCAGTCCAGAGTCAACCAATAAGATGCGTGTTTTTCGAGTAATTAGGGCTCCAGCCCTTTCTGCAAAGACATTTTATTCAGGTTGACTCTCAGAACTTTACATAGCTAGAAGACCTGTTTCCTTGCAGAATACAAACTAGTCAAATAAATTTAGATCATTATCTAAATAGAATTGACGAGGCTCCACTTTGAATTATATTTATATAAATTACATCATTTATTTCAAAGATTGATAAATATTTATTTTATTTGCAAGGATCTGCCCCAGGTGATATTTAGTGAATAGATCATATATATAACTGATATATTATTTGTTTTTGATTCCTGGAGGCATGTGAATAAGATCCCAATATAAATAGTCAAAAGATATTTATTTTATTTATATTAGTCTACATGATATTTGTTTATTTACATTTGCAATATGGCAGATTTCACAGAGGTCAAATTTATCTGATTTAGATAAATCTGATAAGTGAATATTTAGGGTTATTTCTTCAAGATATTTAATTACTTCCTCATTAAGATGTCCAAGTCTCTGATACCAAAGAAAAGCAGGTCCTTTTAAATGAATTAGCTTTGCACTATTTGCATAGTTTATTATAATTTAGTTTATTTTATTCACTGTTTCAAATATTTGTTGATTTGTTTGATTCCATTTAATAAATAGAATACCATTTTATTCATTAATCTTATATATTTGTTTGTTTTCATATATTTCAAGCATATTTTTATATAAATTTAGGTATAAATTACCTTCCTTTACTTTACCTGCTGAGATTATATTCAGATAAAAGTAGAGCATGTATACAACATTTTTTAAGTTAAATTTGATTAGTTTATTTGACATGCAAACAGTAGAGCTAATACAAACAGTTCTAAATCTGTAAACTTTTATATTAGTATCCCCTACTAATACAGCTGTATCATCATTCACTGAATTAAAATCAGTGAATTTTTGCAAATCATTACAAACATGTATATCTGATCCTGTATCAAAGATCTAATTTTCTTGAAATTTTGAGTTATTTGATTTGTTTGATATAAATATTTATAAAGTTATAAAATTAAACAAATCATTTTCATTATTTTCATTATAATTTTGATTGATTTTCGTGCATTTTTGCTTTGCTTTCTCGTATGCGTATTGAAATTTGTCATTTTCACATATTTTTTTAAATCTTTCAATGACTTGTAGGTCAGGTTTCCAATTATTTAGTTATTTTGCTTTATTTATATATAGGCATTCACTAAAAAAATGGATCCTATTATTTGGTTCTGATTCACATAGACATTTTAGCTTATTTGCATATTTTAAATAATTTAATAAATAATCTGGTTAATTTTTAAAAGTTGCGTTTGCAATTTTTGATTTAAACTTTTGATTGATTTGATAATTTTTGTTGAATTCACGAGTTCTATGGGTCATCTCATAGAAATCAGGAATTGGTAGAGAATTTTCGTTTAATTC